CCCTTGTCCCCAAGCGCCCCTTCCACTGTCGCCTCGCCTCGTCTCCCCTTTACCTCCCCGCCCCGCGTAATCACGCCTGCGACGCTTTGCTTCTCGTCGCCCTGCGTTGCCCCGCCCTCATTCACCCCGCGTCGCCTCACCCCGGGTGGCCACGCCTCGCCTCTCCTCACTTCACTACACGCCCCGCGCCCAACCACACCCCACCTCGACCTGTGTCGCTCCGCTCCTGCGTTGCCCCGCCTCTTATTGCCTCTCCCCGCTTTGCCACGCACTCATCCAGCCCCACCCGCAACGCACGGGGCGAACCGCTGTGTTGTGGCGGATCGCTCTTCTTGTAGTTCTAGGCACCAGTGTTTAAGTCTATACCAATTGTTCAATTCGTTTTATTTCGAACTAGTGGGAAAAGCAGGTTCGCCGAAGGATGTATATGGGTGCTCCCGTTTTCCCTGTCTGTCATTGCATCATTGCTCTAACATCAGCCCGCATCCATCATACTATTCGGATGTGGCTGGAAATATTGAGTGACTGAGGAATCCGTATCATTGGAGAAAATACTTCCCCTGTCTCCGTTCCCTGTTATCACCCGTCCAGTCTCTCAGAGCATTGATCCATCTTTTCCCGCTCCCCCAAAGACCCCACACGTCCCAGCCTTCCCCGTATCACTACACTCCCCACAGCTCCGATGAGCCTCAACATACAACATACATATGTCTGGACTCGCTCCGCACGAGACTCAGCATGGTCTGCCACGATTCCAACCGCCGCGTTGCGCCCCGTCCAGAGCAACGCGACCCGCCGCGCCTCGGCCCGATACGACACACGTAGAAACATGACATCGCATTACTCGACACGCGCGCTCTTCCTCGCCCAAACGCGATTCCACACGACGAAGAAACAAGTCTAACACCATCCGACATGAGCCGCGGCAACCTGACTCGACCCGACCCCACCCAACCCAATCCACCAATTTGACAGTGTCCGACCAGACACGACGAAGAAACGAATCCAACTCCTCCCGACACGACCCTACCCAACCAAGCAATTTGACAGTGTCCGACCGGGCACGACGGTAAACGATAGAATCAAACCCCCCGTTTCTTCCAGCCTGCGGCACAATCCTCCCCTCCGTGTCGCAACCACGACACATGTTCCGTTCCGCTCCATCTGTACGCGACCCTCTCCAGTCGTCACCGAGACGAGTTGCCTCGCATCTACGCCGATCACCGTATCTTACCCAACGCTATATTTACACCACTCCATCTACCCCGTTCTCGTCCTTTTGTCTTCCCCCACCCCCACCCCGTCCCAAGTTTTCCTACAGCCCTTTACATGATCTCTTCCGCTCCACACCATCTCACGCCATTCTAGTCAGGTATTTTTACGCCTTGACTTTGCTTTCGAAGCTTTGCGTTTCCTTGCCGCTTCGCGCCGCTCAAAACCATTTCGTCTGTCCATGAGTGTACAGACACTCGACCCGCATGACCGAACCGACATTCTAACCTAACTCACCTCGACCCGATCATGACACGGAATATGCTGTTCCACATGTTCGTCTCGGATGTTTGTCGATCTCAAAGCACCGAATCGTAACCAGGCAGTTCCACGTCGGATTAACACCACAGTATGTACAGCCCCGACCCACGTCTTCCTAAACCCCAAACAATCTGTTCCACGACAAATCACGCCAGTCATCACCGCCTCTGTCCACCGCAACTTGTCTAGAGGAACTGTCTCCGTTCTTGCCGCTCCGCAACCGCCTCTCTCCGAGTCTGCAGAGACATAACCCAATCCGACACGATCCGATGTGCTCCAACACACGATCCAATATGGCCCGACTCGACCCGATCCGATATGATACGACCTCCCCGACATAATCCAATCAATACCGACCTAGTTATAACACACGTTCTGTTCCACTCCGTCCGTGCCCTTTCGCATGTGACGTGTCTCGATTTAAAAGCACTTACCTGATTGTAACCAGGCCGCCCAACATCACCACCGTGTCTTCCTACGCCCCTAGCGTGACCCCGTTCCACCCCTCTCTGTCGCGCCACTCCTCCCCGCTCCTCTCCGCCCAGACCCCTCGCGAAGCTGTGCCTGCCCTTGCGCCCCGCGGCGCTCAGAACCACTTCGCCCCTCCCCGAACGCAGGCCTCGTTGCGTCACTGGTCACTTGCTCCCGGCCCATTTGCTCCATTTGGCCTGGTCCTTGGTTCGCTCATTAAGCACGCTTCAAGGGTGCTCGTGCGATGAGTTAGCTCGAGAGCTCTAATGAATGCAGTTGAACGAGAGGAGGTACTCAAAGAATTGAACAAAAGTACTGCCAATTCTTTGAGCATTCATTCACGGCCTCGAGTATTGCGAGGAATTCATTTTCGGAGAACTGGTTTGCCATTCTTATGTGAGGTACTTTTAATTTCATTCTATTCTAAATTGTTTTCTTCCCTATGAAATATGTTTTCCAAACAACAAATACCCACACGCAACACCAGAGGTCAACTTTGTAATTACATTTTGCTACAAACGTTTATCTATTTTCTTTTCAATGTGTGACACTTAGAATTTTGTTCTAAATATGTATGTTTTTACAATCTTAGGTGTTTTATATCGTTCTCCGTATTATACTGTTTACTGATCTCTTTTGCTGCCAAATCTCCTTCCTTTTCTTGTCATCGTACAGGTCAACGCTTTATCATTCAAATCCATTGTCATGTTAACCTTATTACTATAATGATTTAATTAAGTGTTAGCATTTCGTAACATATTTATTCAGTGTTCTCTGTAGTCCTGCATACAAACCCCCAAGTGGGAAGCAAGTTACGACCGAGTTCATTTTTAGTAGCTATTAGTTCGACACCGCCGAAATAGGAAGTTGCAACATCGATACTATTTCATGGTAGCGCTGGCTTCGATTCATTCGAAATGAGCGCCGAAGCTCAAAGAGTTATGAAGGAGTCCCCACTGCTCAGGATCCCAATGAGCTTCTTTCGAGAAGTGGTTCCAACGGTGCTTTCCACAACGTCCCACAAACAACCGCCTTCGGTCCAGAGATAGGCGTATGTTAGCTGAGACCAGGGGGCTGCGATTTTATCTCGCAGTTCTGGGTATTATTGAATCTTCAGATACGTAACACATTAACATAAAATAATTATGACTTTTAAAATGTTACTATTACTATAATAATAATAATAATAATAATAATAATAATAATAATAATAATACCGAGAGACGCGTGCAAACATACCCCACTTCATAAATCTTTGTTTTGAAAGTGAAAATATATTGAAAGTTAACTTCGAAAGTGACAAGCCACGAAGTGGTGCCGCGAAATGGGAGTACCCTTCGAAAATGCAATAGAACGTCGAAAATATCACTTTTGTAGATTATGAAATTAAAAGTAAATTTGTATCCCGTAAATGACCCGAAAAAAATTATTTTCAAAGTTTAAGACCCGTTGTTTCCGATATACACCGTTAGTAGCGTATGCTGATGATTTCATGGGCTTATTGCGATATCTGCGATCTATTTATTTCATCTTAAGATGATACACGATGACTAGCGGTGATGCCCTTACCAAAAGTAGCACAATCATAGCGTTTTGTGACAGTTGTCTTATAAAAGGTACCAAATAGTCAATTTGCGTCGGCAAATTATATGGAGAGCAACGTTAATTTGTTATGTATAGAAAAGAGACAATAAAAAATGCGAGAGGAGTTCGATTTCCATTCAACGAATGTATCGTGAAGCCTTTCTTGGAAGCGCCGCGTCTGAAGCCGTGCAGTGGGGACGAAATGCCTCTGCGGGGACATTCCTGGGGCGAGTGAGTCGACCCGCACCGACTTCAGACGTATTTAAATATTTTGACCACATAAATAAACAGATATATTTCATGCAAATCTATTATAGAAGTAATTGTACAGCTGTAGACACTGTCTTAATGTATTAATGAAATGGTTCATAATTGATAATTAAAATATTTGATTCATAACTGATTGTACCAACCATGCAATCTTAAACGTGGAGAGAATGATGTGAGTGTAGGTGACCATGATACCATGTGGTGGTTCCGCTTTTTGAAATATTCTTCAGTGTACAACTCTAGTAAGGTGGATTTCATTACAGAGTCTACCAGAAATTATTTTCATTTTTATTTATGGTGCTTCTTTTTCATGTACAATAACGTAGTATATCAGTTTAAAGTTTGTTTGTATGTACTCTATCCCATTTTGTGACTTATCTATGTAGTAATAGTGCAATTATATGTCCCATAGCCCTGAGGAGAGATTAATCAAATTCCAAAACGTTGGCAAACTAGGATTTAATTAGGTGATCAACACCCATTACCTTTTCCTAGAATTAATAGTGTGATCATGAAGTCAAGATGAAAGTCCATATTGTCGATTGAAACACATTGTGTCCAACTATTAATATATTATAAAATGAAATATATAATAGCATACGGTACCCTCGGAGTAAACATATAGAATGACACATGTTTGATATAAAGTTGCTATAAAAAACACAGGTTAACTAGCATCACTTCTTTAGTACTCAGCTAAGTCTTGTGTTGCAAAATTTATACTCGTTTTATTCTGATTCTATAGCAAATATATTTTTAATAACTTAAATATTTACCTATCATGTTTCATAACAGTATCACTGATTGAATGAATTTTAAAGCCTTCAATCAACTGATGAAGGATGATCAAATGATGAATCACTCCAAAATTACACTCCAATCATACACTCCAAACTTACATTTCGAACTTACTCTCCAAAAGTTACACCCATGTCCTCGGCAGTACTGCTTCTCGATCGCCCGGTTCTTAAATATGTAGTAAATCACAGGTCAGCGCCTTTGTGGGGCGAATGGGCCAGCCTCTCTCGGAGCGTGAAATTGTTCTTGACTTCTGGAGCCCATGCTCGAAACCCGATAGCTCGAGTGTTCTTATTTTGTTTGGCTTTTCGGCTTCTTCTTACCTTCGGTAATCGAGTTTCATGTGGCGTACGAAAGAGAGCTTCGACCTTAAAATTACGTATTACGTCTTCAATGGGTCATTTTATATGGTCGTGACTCGTAATACGGAGAAGGTTAGGGAGAAAGAGAAAAAGGAAAAGTATGCTGTTATTAGAGTGACTGTTAATAATTATAAGTATTTAAATAATAGTTTGTAATGGGTAAGAAAGCATTATCTCTTAATTGGAGCAAGTTCTTAATGGTGCTGTAAAGAAGACAAATTTGTAATTCCTAACAATTTTCATTTTATTTATGGAAGTTGAGCCTCTACGCAGATACATTACAAGAAACCTTACACGTTATGCTATCTCACTAAATTTATAGAACTTACTGTACTCTTGATTGCTTTAGTCACGGCTTGAACATTCATATTTGCATTTCTGCATAAACGTTACTCGAATATCATGCAAACACGTTTAAGTTTCTCGGGCAGTGAACCCTACGCAAACTTGTGCTTTTTTTAGATATTTGCGTTAGATATTTTGGTTTCTTTCTTTCGTACGTGTACATCTCTGGATCTGTTCCAATTCGCTACTAAATTACAGTTTTAAATATAATGAGAATTGCCTCTGTAATGAATTGCTAGTAAATAACGGAGACCAATTTGTATCGTATAACAACTCCTGTTTTAATACTAGTTCTTCTTTCTGTAGTAGTACTGCCGCATTTCTGGTGAAGTATTGGCGCAACTTGACGTCAATTTTTCCAAGGACCAATTGCAAAGTTAGTGGGCTCACTTTCTCCCCGCTGCAGTCCTTAAGAGAGCTCCTACCTTATTCGTGCGTTGAAATCTCCATCCTTAGACATGGGCTTATGCGAACCTGTTTTCTGCCGCAGGTGAGAGGCAGCCAACATGGCGGACATGAGCGACGTCACCCTCATCCAAGATGAGGACCTGCTGCGACGCATGGTGAGTGCACGTTGGCCGAGGGCCAAATGGCGCCTGCGATAGGTAAATCCTTTTGATTTATGCATTTCCTGCTCCTATATTTCGAGTAAAAATACTTTTTGAGTTATTTATCTTATTTTTCGTAATGTACTGAGAATTAAAACAAGGTAATAACAATAAGCCGTACACGTTTATAAAGTACTAGACGTGATAGTCCATGGAAGTTTTCTCCGCGTTTGAGAGCGAGTCGAAGTCCAGTTGTGCAACCGCCAGTAGTTGAAACGTACTTTATGTTCTTAAGTGGATGTCATCGTAGTTTCTAGAAAATTTTGGAGGAGAGAAAGATATAATCTTTTGTTATGCAGTAGTAGAGTTGATTTGGAGAAGAAATTCCCGTTATCATCATTAAGTAGACACATGGCACGTAACAAGAATGAATGAATGAATGTTAACGACACTTCCAATTCAATTTTCCTTTCTTGTAAGAATGGTGGAGGTAAACGTGTTCAGAATTCTGATGATTTAAATTTCTTGGTAGTGTGGCACCGTTCTTTCTTACTTGAATTGGTTTAAATTAGGATCCCATGATAATAAATGAAAAGAAATATATTGTTCTAGCTTGAATATTGTGATATTTTAGTTTTCTGACAACAAATGATTCTGCACTTTACTTCTTTTCTCAATTGCCTTACACCGACTGCTAGACCGTAACCTTTCAAACGCACTACATTTGCTTTCTTTAATACAATAACAGAGGTAGTTGGACGCAAAATATTCACCTTCAATTGATTTGCGCATTTTCAAATAGGATTTAAAACATCTGATTAAATTTAGGAAAATCTTTAATTTTGGAAACATATTATCCTTTAAAATTTGTGGATTTTTTGTCATTAATCAAGAAAGCATCGTGCATTCCATCGATAGAGTTAGCTTACGCATCCACCACAGTCTCTAACATGGACATATTTTGTAAATAAATTAATTTTTATACAATTTTAAGGTTTAATGTTGACTGCTTAGCGATTGAAAATATTTAAGCCAATAAACTCTAAGATAATTAGACAATACTTGTTTATTAATTTATACGAAGATATCAACATAACCAGGAACGTATTAAACGTCATTACTGACATATTATGGAAAATAGAGATTACTCGAGTTTCGGAAGATTGAAAAGATCGATAACCGTATAAAAATCGAATTCGAGAGAATTTAGGATTTGTCGCATCTCTAATAACAATTGTAATATTCGTTTAGTATTCAATTATTATTCTTGTCGTTTTTCTTTGAGCAAGTCCTTGTAAATCAGTTTATACAATATTAATGACCTTAGCCGGAGATATCCTCACCCTAGAGCATTGCGTTCCGGAAGGCGCGAGCATCGAGGCAATAGGTGGGGCAACGACGGTGGCGCCCATAACGGCCACACAAGGAAGATATTGCTCAGGAAATGTACATGCATGGAGACCACACTTTTTACGTTTTCAATACGATATTTGATTCTTGTAAAACTATAATTTATTGAAAAATTCACAATTATGTTATCGTCGCACATTTCCTCCAAAATATAAAATATTACGTCAACTTATGGTTCTTAATTTTATTTTAACAAGATTTGTTTAGATTCGAGTTTTGGGAAAATCTAGGAATTTAAACGTATGATATTTGTATCGTATTTGAAGATTTAGTTTAGGATTCGAGAAAATTCGTTCATCGTTTTGAAATTCAAGATTCGTAAAAAAATACATTGTGAGCTGTTCTTAATGAAATGCCCATTCTCAGTGTGCTACTTCCTCACACGAGATGCGTTAGGGCGAGCCGGTGCACCGCGGGGCGCGTCAACCACTTAAGTCTTTTGTTCCGTAAGTGTAGTGCATGCTTTTATCGCGAGAAGTTGTCGTGACCTTCCCACGCTGTATGGCAAAATCCAGCGTCGACCTACCCGTCGGCTTGTGGGATTTCCCCACCTAGGTATCTCTCACAAGCGAAATACCGCCCCAGCCGAGACAAGCTCTAAGCTTCCGATGGAACTCCCGACACCTGTGGTTATATGGTGCATGTAAGTGTAAGTGTAAGTGTAAGTGTATGTGTATGTAAATAAGTGAAAGGGGTGAGGGAAGGGAAGGAAAGATCGCTCGCTGCCCGTGTCTCGTTTGCTTGGGTACTTCTCCGGCATTTGCCTAGTGTTGATCGGAGAAACCACGGAAAACTACTGATCAGAGCAGTCGACCGCTAAAACTCCTTGCTCTCTAGGTAGTGTCAAAAACCCTTCCACTGTCAGGAAGTCGAATCCTTGGCCCTCCCGGTCAGAGGCACCGCAGTGGCGTCAGTTGATGCCCTGAGCCGGCGCGGGGCGTGGAGGCGCCGAGCGCACCGCACAAGGAAGACGGTCCTCCTCCACGCATCGGCTGCGGCGGCTGCGGCGCGCGTGGGCCGGGCGGCCGGCCGCCCGGCCGAACAGCGCTCTCCGCGGATGACTCACGCGCGACGACGTCGGAGGCTGCGGCGGCCAGGGGGGCGTGGGCCGCGACCAGCGGCCTTGGCGGCGGCGTGCGGCTGCCAGCCCACGGGGGCGGGGCGGGCCCACGCGGTCGCACGTCACCGCTCCCAGGTGTCTTCCGCCGCCCCCGCCTCCCGCCGCCGCCCCCGCCGCCGCCAGGGTCGGACGTGCGAGAGCGCACGCGAAGACGGTTTAAAGCTCCTCCAGCTAGAGAGCCGTCGTGACGCTGCGTTTGGATTTAAATGCGAAACAATGACGTGTAAAACGCCAGTGGTTAAGTTTAGCCTGAGCTATTGCGCTACTGTTCTGGGGTACCGAAGTATCAAATGTAAGAATCGGTTGCCCAAAATAGCTGTGGAGAAGATAGTGATAAATGTCGGTACGATGTATGTCTTTTCTCGACGTTAAAATTCTCCACACACTCCCTGTTGAAACTTTCTCTCTGATTTATTCCGCTAATCTCTCTCACTCGCTTTTGATTTTCCCTCCAATTATTTTTCTCTGTTGCTTTCTCTCCCCCTCTGTCTCTCTTTCTCTCTCTCTGTCTCTCTCTCTCTCTGTCTCTCTCTCTCTCTCGCTCTCGCTCTCGCGCTCTCTCTCTCTCTCTCTCTCTCTCTCTGTCTTTCTCTCTCTCTCCTCTTGACTTCTTTTTATGAAGAAATGACATTGATTAATGGTAATTAATGAAATAGTAGGTCTGCATGCAACGAAATCTGTATCTTTTGACATGAAATTGATTTTGAAAAACTGGGAGCTTAATTTTTTTAGAAAATCTATCACAATATTATAAATACCGAGATTTTGCATTGAAAAACAGAAATTTTACGACATTTAACGTATAAAGAACGTACGTAAGATAACGAATAAATCAATAACCGAATTACCAAGCCTATTGTAAGCGTACTGTATTATAAGCGTAGTGTAAGCCTATTGTATTGTAATTGCACGGAGTATATAGTATAGTAGTCGAGTTCCGAGAAGAGGCGTGGCTGAAGGAGTTGGCGCCGTTGGGCGCAGTGCGGGGTTCCCAGGGGGACATGGCAGACCGCGGCCTTCGCGGTGCGCAAAACATGAGAGACGCCCCCTCGTTTTGCGTTTCCTCGTTAATTGTCGAGGTGCCTCCGCAGCCCGAAGAAAACGCACGTCTTTCTGCTTGATTTTGCTTCCATTGGGTGCTCGTAATTGAGGATGTAGGCAGGTGGAATCACGCATCGGAAGAGAGTCTTTACTTCTAATTATATGCTGCTATAAATGAACTACAATGAAAGTTTTTGCTTTGAAACATGTGCCTTCTTGAACTTCGAACCATAATATATTTAAAGCGAGGTAAATTGTATGTTTTTAATGAAGAAAAACCGCCTTTGTTCGTCTTTATTCGAGAGGGAAGTAGAACCAGTTGTCTCGTGTTGTATATTTGCAGCGTGTAAAAGACACTTAACCCTAAAAGATGTTTCAGATCTAAATTCAAGAACATTCAATCTCCGAAAAAATAATTTATGTGCTACTTGAACGGCTTCTGCTATAAACGAACAGAAAATTGTCTAATTTATGTCGCTGTTATTAAAGGTACATTTAGTAAATAAATGCTGAATAAATTGTATTCTAAAATAAAAATAAAAAGCTGTTAAAACTACACTATCATTATTACTTTGACTCACTTTTTCTCCGAATTTATTGTGAACGAGTTCTGATCTAAATATAAGTACTAACACAATATAAATATTAACACATTTCGTATGTCTTTCTGTATCGCATGTGTCGTGAAAATTACAGTTCTTTCTCAAGTAATACTATTGTTATGCTATAACTACTGGGAAACGTTTGGGAAAGTACGTGTACGGAAACAAGTATATGGAAGATGCTCCCACAACACCTTTCTTCCTTGGTTTCTTTTCACAACGCCTTAGGTAACTGAAATGATTATGTAAATGATAACTCTGATTTATTTACGGCGAGTTCCAGAAAAATATTATTATTAAATTAATGATTAGGGATATAACATTCCATTTTATAATACATTTACTATTATATTAAATTTTATCAATTGAATATAGCAAAAAAGAATGTATAATGGAAGACGGAATGACCGACCTTTTCAATAATTAAACAAATGTTAATTGCAGTGTAACTGGAGAAAACTTTGTGCATTATTAATGAAACTAAGACTTCGGTAAATATTTTAACTGCCTCACTTACATTATATGTAATTTTCAAATAGTTCCTAGTATGAGATTGAGGATACAGTTTCATTACAGGCGAATTATATTTCCTTTAAATTAAGAAAGAAATCACGTTGGTAGGAATATTTGAAAGATCCGTATAGTAATTACATTCATTGAGCTATAGAAACCTTCGCAAGCTTCATGTTAATGAATTGGAAGCTCTTTCCACCTACTGAGCAGCATTTCTTAACCGGATTTATTTAGCCAAATTGTCCGTTTGCTTAGAGGTTGACTCAGAATAAATATTACTAATTTTGAGGGAATCTAGAAGTGGTCGATGATACTCACATTTTGACAATGAACATGTCGGAAATCTCATAATAGGAAGATAACAAAAAGAACCACATTTTGACCAGACGCTCATGTTTGATTGACAACCCATCCTGCACTAGTGTTTGGCACTTAAACGAACTCCCTAATGAAAAGGTTCCCAATCAGTGACCAATCAGTGAGTTTCATTCATACGTGATAAAAGCGATGCATGTTGTATTGTAGTCACTGCTTAACAATAATAACAAAATTCTCCATATTCCCTGTGTGCAGTTGTCTCCTGAAGATTCATTTACTTTCTATACACCAGTGCAGGATATGTTGCCTACCAATCAGGGGCAGAAATGCCACGTGTGTAACTTCTTTAAAATAATGAGGTACCCCAACTCCACTCATGCTCATTGGTAAAAAGTAATCTTTACCCCACCTGCATGCCCTAGACGTATGTAACATGTTCCTCACCGTCAACCTCGAAGTGTTCTACGCAACATATGTGTTTTCACCATGGAATATGGCGGCGAGGGATAGTGGCGGGTGGTAATGTTGTCTTGACGGTAGCATTGAGGCAATGACGCAATGGCATGGAACACTGGCGGTGGCGTCGAGGTGCCAGCGTCGTGTCATGGAGTAGGGTGGCATATGGCGGATCCCAATAGAACCGTCGCGACATCGTATTGGCGGTGGCTCGGCGGCGCATCGAACTGACAACGAAGCGGTGATGCAGTGATGAATCTGGAAACCCTGGTGGTGGTTTAGTGTGGTACGCAGTGGTCTAGTGGCGGCGCCGCAGTGGCGAATTGCAATGGCACCGCAGTGGCTGCTTCGCCAGGGCGTGGCGTCGTGGGAGTAGTGGCGGTGGCGGAGTGGCGAGCCGCAGTGGCCTAGTGGTGTGGCATCGTGGCGGTGGTGCAGGCGCGTAGTAGGGCGCGATGGCCGCCTCTCGCCCGCGCGCGCTGTTGCCGGGAGTCGAGTCGAGCTGAGCTGAGGTGAGGTGCGCGGCGCGGCGCGGGGCCGGGCCGGGCCGGGCCGGCGAGCGGACGGGCGGGAGGGGTAAGTCACCTGCGGGAGGCTGCAGACCTTGAGCGGGTGCCTCTCGCTCCGCTCCCCGCCCGCCCGCGTCGCGCCGGCCGCCGCCCGCTCGACGGTTACCCGCTCACCCACTCAACCACCCAGCACCCGCCGACGCACCACCGCCCACCCGCCTCGGGCTCGCCCGCCCTCCGTCTGCCCGCCGTCTGCTCACGAATCGCCCGCCTACCGTTTAGCCAGTCCGGTTCCTAATCTCCTGTCTTCTGTTTATCCACGGTCTGCTTCCTGATCTCCGAAGTGGCAAGATCCTCCAACCTGCGATCTAATCACCCGCCATTCGTCATTTGCGGTTACTTTTCCAATCACCCTCTGACCGTGTGTCTACCGCCTGCTCCCTACTCATCCGACTTCCGTTTATCTGCAGCCAGATTTCTAATCAACCGTTTATCTGCAGACTGTGCCCTCCGTTCCTGCCTTCTCGCCACCGTCTAACCGCCGCTTCGCTTCTATCCACAGTCTGCTTCCCAATCGCCCGTTTCCTCCTATTCACTAGACATTCCTCACGTATTATCTCCATCTAAGTATCTCAGCCCGCTCCGCCACATCCTTGCCTTTCACCTATGCACCCTTCATCCACGTATTTACTCAATCATCAGTCTTTTATTGTTCACCATTCATTCCCTCTCAGAGCGTGCTCCCCACCTACCTGACACCCTCTCGCACGACATTCGTATACTTCTCCACTCACTTCACTCACTTACTTCCCTCATCTACCCTGCGGCCCACTTAGTACGTCCTATCAACCCTCCCTTGGACTCTCTCATGACCCTTCACTCATCCTCACTTGTATATCTCTTTCCAACTGATACTCAGCGAGTACTTACTTATGAATTAGAAGATAGTTAAGGATGATGATTGAGTTCTCAGGGGCGATAATCAGGGGGACGTGAATGAATGTCATGGTATTTTGACATCATACTCTAAAATTGAACGGAGTGATAGAATTTACATCGACGAGAAAATACGAGTAGTTTGCGTGTCACTAGTCGGTTCCTCTTTCTGTTTCTTGCTTGCTGTTCACCCTCTCAACAGAGACCTGCTCAGTCGTCGTCACTTCATCCTTGCCCTCCGCACGCCCACCCGCCTCCGACTTGGCTTCCTTCCCTTTCGCGAGCCACTCACGTGACCATCCAATCGCTTAGCTACCGGCTTTGCTTGAGCCTCACACCCACTGCTCTCTTCAGTCAATCGCTAGTTGACTAGCTTTTCTGTTTGCAAAATGACTGATCGCATTGAGAAACTTCGGATAATCTCCGGTATTACCACAGCTAATGGTCTCTATGACCGCTCACCTACCTACTAATCAATTCTCACTCGTTCATAAGCTGGTATATCACCCCGCTGTGAACCGATCTTCCACCCTATGATAATTTCAGTCTACGATGCTTCCTATGTACCCTACGATTTCAAGTTGTGAAAAATTCATAATTCGATTGACCTGTTACCTATCCCTCTCTCAACTCCTCCTCTCTCTCTCTCTCTCTCTCTCTCTTACGTCCCCACTCTGGTATCTTCATCTTAGTCTCACCGCGGGGTCAATAGGGTTCCCTATCACCGTGCTATTGCCCATCAAGAATCGCTTGTAAGCCGTTCAATCACCGAGTTATCATCTCCTCTCTCATTCGGCTTCCTACTCTATGTACTTCTCTAGTAGTCATACGAATTTCAATCGTCACACAATTTTCAATCATGAATGGCGTATATACAGCTAAATCACCCATCAGCTTCTTTTCCATCCATCTCAACGAACCTAATCGCCCCTTCAGCCTAGTCACCAAGGCCGCTATATCAAGACCACCGACCACGAACTCGGATTCAAACAACAAACAAATTTTGCGAAAGAAAGAAGCCTATTTGAACATGTAAAAATTAAAAATTCGGTTGGATCTGAGGACGCTTCAGTCACTAAGTGCTCATCTTGAGAACCTGTACTCGTGTTTGCAATCTAGTCGCCTAGTCCACATTTCATGCACCTTAAGACGCACTATTTCCTCAGCGGAACCTCTAGACCTCTATTTCTCCTCAGCCTCCATCACCACCGCCACCGCCACCTCCGCCGCCTCCACCGCAACGAACCACCAACGCCGCCACAGCCTCCACCTCCACCAGCACCGCGCACTGCGCTTCCCTTTGTTCGACATCGCCAACAGCCACTCCACCAGCAGCACCGCCCCAATCTTCGCCATCACCTCTGCCGTCGTCTCTGTTGCCACGCACCGCCCTGCATTCAGTATGTCCGCCACCAACGCCGCCCCCTCCTCGACCGCCCACACATCCACCGCCAACGCCACCAACGCCGCCTCCACCTCCGTCGCCTCCACAAACACGACCGCCTCCACCACGACCGCCAACGCGCCTTCGTCGCGACCACCTCCATCACGACCGCCTCCACCACGTCCGCCACCTCCGCCTCCATCACGTCCACCTAAAATCACGACCACCTCCCCCTCCACCACGACCACCTCCGCCACCGCATCACCCTGCGAGTCCCTTGCGCGCGCGTGAACCGGGCGCGGGGCCGGGGGCGGGGGGCGTGGACGCCGGGGCAGGAGGCTGTGGGCGCCGCCGCCGAGGCCGCTCATTCGCGAGCGCACAGCCGCCGTCTGCGCACCGCGCCGGCCCGGCGCTCTTCATCGGCTCGAGCCACCGCCGCGCCCGCCGAGCTGGGTGACGGGTTGCCACTTGTTGCTCGCGCTGTGTCCTGCGCGCGTGTGTGAGGGCCGCGGCCCCCCCCCCCCTTTTTTTTGCCCCGCGAAGAAAAAATTAGCCCAAAAAAAAAGCGGGGAAAAAAACCCCCTGGGTTTGGTTATTCGGGTGTGTTCCGGTGCGGCCGGAGTGCATGGAGTGCTTATGTGACGGAGCCATGCGTTGCCTGAGAGGCCGGACGATTTTTTACGGACGAGGCGATTGCGACGGTGTTTGAAAGCGTATTTGGTGTAGTGTGACAGTGCAGAAAGTGTGATACTAGTTGTGTCTTTCTTTGAAACATCTTTGAAGTGTTGAAAAAGTGATCAGCAAATCTTTGAAGGCACTGCATCTCTTTTGGTGAGCTGATGATTTTTTATTCATTATTTGTGACTTGCGTGAGTTCTTTCATGGATCATATTCTTCTTCTTCTTAAATTAACTCGTAATTTTATAGTCTTTTTTTCCTTAAAATGTTTCGTTCATTTATCTAATCGGTACTCACGAATATATTCCTGTTCTTTCTCTAGTGGAATAGATGTGCGGTGTTTTACAAGCCAGCATTTTTATGTGGATTTAAATGTCTTTCCAAAGTTCTCAAAACGCCTATATTACATGTGTCATATTTCTGTACAAGTATTTAATTTCTCACATTTGTCGTCATTTAAATGTTAGCTTACAGACATTGTAAAACGATCAAATAAAAAGATGTATCAAGTAACGTACTGGTAGCGTATTTGGTATAAAATTCAGAGAAAAACAGCTTAATATTGTTTGCTGGAAACGATTCATATTAAAATAATGATTATTAACCGTCTTGCTAGTTGTCATCATTTCGTTAAATACGCTGGGCTGGTTTTTTAAAGCGCTGACGCTCTTTGGCATTTGACTCCGTGCATTCATGTGGGGCACAAAGTGTCTTTTAGTCGCCAAAGAGAGCCTTTCACGAACGTATGATTTTGAGGTTGAGGCCACGCGACGGCGCCTCGTGGGCGTCCTCATGGTCGACCCGGGATTCGACGAAGCTCGTGACAGCTCTTTCAAAATGGCGGCGTCCTGGTTTGAAGTATCGCCCACAGTTTCTGGAACGCTGGAAAGTTTTAGAACGAGAACGGTTTCGCGAGAATCATGTTTGCCTATGGTAATAATGGTCAGGTAATAAATGTCAAGTCGTGTGCCTTGGCAACAGGTCTTGCTTTGTATAATAATTGAAATTTACGCATGGTCGTTGGCAATTGAGGGAATTCTTTTATTGACGAATGTGTAGTATTTTGAGGATTGTTAGCGTTATCTTTGCTTTTAAATCAAACCAAATTTAGTGTGATTTTACTTTTCTGGCGTTTAACGGCTTCAATAAGGGGTAAATTTACGTAACTCAGTTATTTTATGAAATTTGTATCATAAATATGAGTGTAACGCCGGAAACAGTGTAATTTTAAAGAAATATTTCTAACTAATTAGATGTATTCAGAAAAAAAACTAATTTGAATAATAAACTGTAAAGGATACTCTATGTTTCTTGAACACTGCGAAACAAAATGGCGTATAATCTGCATTAAGAGATTTTTACAAATATGTTTTTAAAGATCCTAATTTGCCATAATTCATTTTAGCTGTTATTGTTTGATATGAATGTTCTTGAAATAATAAATCCGTTGAATAATGTATGGGATTTTGTGAATCATGAATTAAATAGCGATAATGAAGTGTCAATTATTTTTATTATGCACTATTGGAAATTCATCAGTTTCACTTCCATTTGATCATCATAGTCCCGTTATTAACATTGAGTATAATTTGTTAATTTCCCGGTATGACATATGTACTGATGAAATTAACTTCATCCATACAATTCATGTATCAAATAAATAGAACCCACCTCAATGTTTATTGATTTTTATAAGTTAACGGAACTTAGTTAAATATAATTTTAATTCTTAAACTTATGGTACATTTTTTCAAATGTATCAAAATATTTAATTACTGACTTGATCAGGAATATTCAATTAGTTAATGTTTATTTAATTTAAATGTAAAACAATTAATTCATTCGCGCCTTTCAATAATTTTCCATTCTCCAAAAAGATATATCATTTTTCTTGTTTTATAAGAAACTTCGATTTCACAAAGAGAAAAACCGTGTATTTTATTATACGCTTTTGAAATGTATGTAGTTGTAGAGTAAGTCAGATGCCCAAAATCAAATCTATTTCTCCATTTATTTATCAATGCGAAACCTGCTAGTGAAGAAAGTTTTTGACCGAGACATTTCAGATTGAAAATGATAATTGTCTGGGTGTGCATTTTGACGTGAGCATGTCGATAATGTAGAATAAGCCTAAAACATAATTTAAACGATCTCTGTATGCTGACGGATTTGATCAATATATTTTTCTTGAAATTCTGGTGAGATATTGCATTCTCGGTGAGAAAAGAAACCCACACCAGTAAAAAAACTCGAGAGCGCTTTTGATTCCTAATGGGCAATGTCTACTTTTCCAGGAGAGGATATGTATCAATGGTATCCTTGCACTTCTCAAATTCACTAAATATACCATAATGAGCTCATTTTCATTACGACCAAGAACTTGTTGCATCGTATAAAACGTCTAAAAAATTCGTCAAAAAATTACGAAGTTATCAATTTTTTACTAATTTAAGTAACATATTTCTAAAATCTGTTATTTTTAGGATGATTAAGAGATCTTTTAATTTAAATTATTTATTATGAAGTGCAAAAATAGGAGGGAATGTAAAAGCCGTATGATGCATGTGTACTGTTTGCCATAACTAGGACATAAATAGGCAATAAAGTGCATAATCTCGGAATTCACAATGAATTATATTCAATACGACCTAACTTAATTGTACTGATTTTGTAGTTAAAAATTCAGTAAATAAAAGTGATTTTTAAATTTTGTTTTGTTCGTTAAATTAAAAAAAAGTTATTTTTATTATAAACTGAACAGTTAAGAACATGAAATATATCATATTATTAATTTCAAAAACGAATACTCTGAACTTAATTTTTATCCATATTTGTAATTCGGAACCATTTTTAAATCACATTACTTAGCGTATCCGTTACCCCAAAGTGAAATGAATATCGTTTAAAATGACAATGAGAAAAACTTTAGAAAGTTGAATCAATGTTATCAGAAAGTCATCAAGGATCGTGGTTATTAATTTTTTTTATATGCCATATAAATTCGGAAAAATGAAATATATATACAAAAATAGATAGAATGTATATGAAAAATAACATTAAAATTAAATTATTTTATAACTGTTAAGGGTTTTCTCAACAGTAAAATATCAGAAAACTAACAGCAGGGGTTTTTATACAGTTTTGGCATCCTGCGTAGCAAGATGCTCTCACAATAATAGTTATTTTTATTATTTTAAGTCTTATTAGTTTTATTCGTATTTACTTTCACAATTTGTAATTAATTAAAATTAATTTTTACAAAGTGAAGAATACTTTAAACGTTTGAAAACAAAATAACTTATAATAATTCAAAATTAATTTTAATTTAATTATTTATTAATAAAAATATATAAATTGAATTAATTATTTTTTAAATTATTTAACCGTTTTTCCTAAAGCTTTTGGGGCAGTTTGAATCGTGAAGTATGGTAATTAGTATTCAGTAATCACAATCACAATGCTCAGAAAACTTTACTTACAATTTCACAGTAACATTAATGTAATTACAGATAATGAGTCGTGAAAAAATACATGAAATATAGTCTGTGTCAAATTATTTCAAATTCAATTTCTGTTAGAATGTTGTTATATTTTTTGTGTAATAGAAATGTTTACTCTAAAAGTGTAATATCGTATAAGACCTAGTTTTATCCCCCAAACCTACCTCTATAAAAGGGATACGAAATATACCCTGGTGAGGTTTGTGTGCCACTGGCCGACATATAAGACGTGAAATGGGCGATGTCTAGTGGTGAAGAAATAGTTTCTTGCTAAAGAAGTGAAAGATGAGGGGTAAATAATACTATATGATTATATTAGATATGATTTGTATAATACTTGTATTATAGTGTACTTTCCAAATGAAATTCCAAAAATCTGTCTCAAAATTTGGAAAAACACTTTGTAAGGAATTGCTGACAGCGAATTACCTTTTCTTGTGTTAATGCTGACCATACAACTTTGCGTCCATTATTAATAGCACTTCCTAACACCTGAACAAAGCATTAAGTTTTTCTGATGTTTGTTTTATCTGCAAACATAATTAATGCAGGGCTGAGAATTTGCCCAGTCCTTTGCAGTCGTATTATTTCATACTAATACGAGTAACATATATATGAAGTTCATTCATTTCTAATGTGTTTTGAAAATTTCGAACCTAATTGTGAATGGAACCAACACTTGGAAATGGAAACATTGCCATTGGTACAGTGAGCTACTTCATTTACTCGGTTTATGTTCTAGCAAACATAATTTTCGATTTGAATAAGAATTTTGTTTATTATTTTCCTTTACTTTTCCTTACTTTGGGATCACTTCTTTGTTGGGTCTCTTTCACCTTATTAATATGATGATTTATTGTTTCTGAACCGGTTTAATTTTTTACTTTTTAATGTTCTTACATTTTCGGGTTTTTTAGAAACGTTTTAGTAAGAGTAATGTGATCTTCGTTACTCTATGTAGTACTGCTCCACATTCGGTTTCAGTGGAAGAATATTGGAGACTTCGGATTCGCGATGTTCATTATCTTTATTTTTCTCCTTTACTGTAGTCGCGTCTTTACGAGACTCCTATTAGCACAGCCCACAAGCGCTTTCATCCGAAACGATCTTCTGTGGGTTCACATGGGGCTGACGCCATTTTCGATTCGAAGGTTATGAATTTTTTTCTTGTGTATTAAACCTACAATCAAAATGGTCAACATTTCAAACTTTTCTTAACAAATATTTATAATTATTAGGTTTGGTGTAATGTTGCACATGTACCTCCGGCAAACATACACATACAAAACACACAAACACATACAAAAATGCAAAATTATGACATAATTAACTTGAGAGGATGACCCATATACCTCTCATACAAACGTGTTAGCGTGTTTAGTCAAATAGTTATGAACCTTCATTGTTCGATAAATGAAAAAACTTTGAAGGCATATTATTTTGATGACGAAATACTGTTAAGTGTCTTTTTGGAGTACCGCCCACATTTCTCAAGCAAAAGAGGTGTCATAATTTTATAAAAATTCTTAATATTAATTAATTATTGATAACTTTGTTAATCTTGCGTGACAACAAACTGTGTTTATGGTTCTAAACATATGGCCTGCATGCACTTCCAATGAAATAAACGAATTTTCTTCGTGACTACGTTTGATGTTAGGGAACATACATTTTTCATTTTTATGTCATATCGATATTTTAATACGTGGGGATGTGGTTCTTCAAATGTCATTTCATGTTATTCGCCTCAGCAACCACCCGTTTTCTACCAGTTGGTTAATTTATGAAATATGAAGCATTTACATCAACCCTGATTAATAGTAATTCTGAGCCGAATGGGTTCGCAATATTGGTTGGTATTTGCGGTATTACAACGCTTGGGTCACGTGCTCGTGGAGGGAGTTTGGATACTGCATGCAGCTTGACGTCGAGAGCTTTTAGCGCCATAAGAAATTAGGCATTAACAAACAAATTATTATTTTTCAATATTACGTTAGTTAAAAGTATAAAAAATAATTACATATTGTGTAATATTATTAAATTTTGATACAAACTACAGAATAAAAATCAACCTTAAGACGAAATCTAACACGAGAGGAAGTGCGTAACAAAATATTAGATGAAGAATGTTGATTTAAAGGCCTGAAAAATGTTTTAATGATTATTATGATTTTATTATTATTATAGTTTATATTAGTGTTATTATTTTAAATGTTAATGTTACGTTGCCCTCTACCGATAAGAGACCCTCACCCTAGTTAATTACGTAGATGTAATAGATCGATTCTGCGAATAACTTCGCGGTAAGCATTCCCACACCATTTTCCATTTTCATTTTTGGGATAAGTCTACATACTGGATACATTTCTGGGATAAGTTTCGTATGGCACAAGTCTACATATGGAAACACATCGCTCCTATCCGTTTCCTGATTGACAAGTCATGATCACTGTAAGGCAGATGTCAATATAGGCAACGTTGATATAATCCAGGGGTTCAAATATTCTGGCATCGACCCCTTCTAAAATAATGATTTGCTTCATCATTCATTTTTTCTATAATACGCAGCATACAATATTACCTTAACTCAAAAAAGTCCACATATCTGACTTAAAGATAACAATTAGACAAATAGGAACAAGGTATGGAATTATTTTTAACTTAAACATATAAACTTAAACTTACACATATTTTTTAAACTTACACATATAAACACGTTTTCGAAAACAAAATCCTGATTATAGTTCAGCTACAATTTTATTTTATTAATGTGAATGATGTATAATTAAAAAAAGTTAAACGAATTTGCAATTTATTATTAAGTGTATTGTACCTTTATATATGAAAAATAATAATAAAATGCAAAAATGTGTATGTAATTAATCGAATCTTGATAATTAATATACCGATTAGTCGTCGATGAATGTTTGAATATTGACCCAGTATCATCAATGACCTCTATTAAAATCATCCTCCACGAGGGGGAGGGGGCTATTAAAGGACGCTTCTTCACTAACTGCGAGTCGCATAACAAGGCGTTAATTGCGCCCTAAAAGTATTAGGATACATAAGACGCCATTCCACTCGCCGGTTAGCGCTGCTGTCGGAGCCGATGGCTTCGGCTTACGTCTAGTTCGCCGGCGTGGCTTTCCTCATCTTCACAACCCACAAAATGAGCATGATTACTCCGGCCAACTCATATGAACTATTTTGCATAATGACTAGACGAGGTGATTTTTTAAGAGAATGACTCTCACTAACTCTGGCCATGTAATGTGTATCATTATACTAAATGAATTGCTGAATATAATTTCATTAATCACTTTAATCAACATTTGATGCATATTATACATAATGGCTGGATAATAATCATATTAGCTGAGTTAGTTACTTAGTATTGCTGCATTCTTATTATATCAAAATAACGTCATCCAAACTTAGGAATGAAAAGACGGCTATAACGGCCGGCGTCCGTTATAGTTATTTACGTCATCAGGCCGATAAATACCAAATAACAAATGTGGTTGAAATTTGTAAGCCGACGCGACAGCCGAGGTTTATAACCAACCACGTCTCTTATTTGTGATATTGGGTGTGTCATCCAATGCTTATAGTAATACCATTTTCGTGTAAGAAAAAAATAAGATGAATAAGAAACGCCTGTGCTTTTAATGCGCGCAATCTTCTACTTCAAATCTTTACGATTCCTGCTTTAGACGCGTCATTTACAAGAAGACCAAGATTTTATCGCAAGAACATATTAGAATATTGTTTCTGGAAGCAAATAACTACCTAAAAAAATTGTCATGTTTGGTACTTTTGGGGCATTCCCTTTTCCAATTTTGTCCCCTTGTCTCATTTGTCTTTTGATCACATTTGTTCCCTTGTCCCGGTTTTTCCTCTTGTCCCGTTTTTGCCCTTGTCCCATTTTGTCTCCCTGTCCCATTTTTCCCCCTTGTCCCATTTTGTCCCCTTGTCCCATTTCGAGACTAGTCGAACTTAAGTCATTGACTGACATGCATTTATAAAGAAACCACGAGCAACGGATTGCTAGTTGCACTGAATTGTACAAAAACAAAAAAAATCAATGTATTCAATATACATACAGTTGACAATGACCTTTGTGGGTATTATTCAGGTTGTGTGTGTATGGTACTTATGTTGTTTCTCATCTGCTTTGTAACATGAATAAGTTCTAGTTCGAAGATATGTCCCCTTAACTGCCTTGCTCCCTTGACCCCTTCCCCTTAACCCCTTAACCCCTTAACGGCCTGCGGCCATTGAGATTTCCTTTTCATTCTTCTATGGAGGGAGGTTATGCAGATATAGGATATTAACGGACAGTATTACGAAAAGTACTGGAACGATCGGAATAAGAACAATGAAAACAAATGAGTTGAAGCGAAAGAAGGCATCTTTTGCAATACAAGTCCTTTTATAAGAAGTTGACATTACGAAAATTGTTGAACAACACATGGCGATATCACAAATAACGGTCTAGGTTTCTAGTAACCCTGGTCTATGGTCTTGGTTTAAAAACTTAAACCGTGCACATTGTTTACTATACAAGGTGTCCGGAGAGGAAACGTCCAAACTTCGAAAATAAGCTATTAAGACAATTTTAAGCATATTTTGTTGTAATAAACTTCTTGTGTATTTCGAATGGCTGAGTTGCAATAACCACTCTAACATGCGTTTGAAAATGAATGCGTTTGAACTTTCTATGGAAACATTTGCATTGCAGAAACATACAAACACTCCAGAAACATGTGAATTGTTTATTATTTACAAAAGCAAAGAATAGATTTGTTTGGGCAGAAAAATTAACACACACAAGTACTAAAAAAGAACCCAATTTAGAGTGTTTTTTTATTTCTGTGCTTATTTTTCTTTGTATACAAATATTTATATATTTATTTTACAAATAATAAACAATTTCCATGTGTCTTGATTGTTTATATGCTAATCAATGCAAATTTTTGCATATATAATATTTCTCAAACCAACTTTTCTATAACTCAGAAACGAAAATGACGAAACGAAATGAAAACTTATTTATTTATTTTATTTATTTATTTATGTTAAACTTTTACTCACTTTTGGACTATTTATAGTTAAAACGACGGAAAGGTATTCTGGAACTCAAGAAAGCGTGCACAGATAATCTTTTCCCCCTACGTCACATAGTTTTTACTGTTTTTTAACTGAATAAATGTAAATCTAAACTTTAGAGTGGTTATTGTGGTTCAGCCATAAGGAATATACTCATACAATGAGTTTATTACACAAAATATGCTTAAAATAGCCGCAAGAGCTAATTTGCGAAGTTTTGATGTTTCTTCCCCGGACACTCTGTGTCTCAGCGTAATACCTAGAAGCACTATTTCCCCTGTGGCATACTTTCCTGACGAGTGTGGGCGCTGCGAGCGCGTTGCAGTGGCAGCAGACGGAGGACTTCGCGCGCAAGAAGGAGATCCGCGCGCGCATGTACAAGCTGCGCGAGCAGCGGCTGCGCGAGTTCTACACGACGGGGGAGGTGCTGCGCGACGTGCTCAGCACCACGTCCCTCGACGGCGGCGGCGACGGCGGCGGCCGGGGCGGGTTCCGCTCCACCGGCAGCGCCAGCGACCTCATCGACACCGTCTCCGGCTCCAACGCCTCCTCGCGACAGGTGACCGCCCTCTGCCGCGTCAAGCCAGCCCAAAACACAGCTGTCAAATGCGATAAGAAATGAGCAGAACCCACTTTCAATGGAGTTTAATAATCTTTAGAATATTGAAGAGTATAATAATTAAAACGGGGACATCACATGTTGGCGCCGAAATTAACACGCGAAAGTTTGCTATTTAATTTCTCGCAGCCTAAGACACTTATCGAATTGCAATTTTTATCATTATATTAGTCTCGCCTAGGTACACACTAATGATACAATACGTTTTGGGCCTGTCAATTCGTAGGTTAACCACAAAATAAGCGCTGACCTTCTCATTATGCATCTATGACTCAATGAGTCTACCATCAGAAAAGAAGTTGCTCATGAAAAATATCCTACACGTTTTATTTAAAGGTTGTTTATAAGTAAAAAATAGAATTTCAAAATAACGTTTTCATTAAATATTAATCTTAAAATCCAGTATTTTTTATTAAATTTTGTTCTTAGTATCACTTTTATTACGAATTAGAAGTGGTCAGGTTTAATAACCACATATAATTGTAATCGGGTTCTGAGGAAAACCGAACTTTGGGAAAACGGCCAATCCCTTCCCAAGGGATTTTCTTCCTTGGTTTAGAAAATAAATAATTCAAATTTTATTAATATTCATTCTCTGAATTTTAGTGTATTTTGCCCATCCTAGACACAGAAGTTCGTATAATCTTGGTCTGTTTAGCAAATTGAAAAATATTCAATTTAATTAAAAAATTAATACACGCATTCATTAGTGACAAAGCGACTTTTAAAATTTAATACATAAATACAATACATTAAGCTATGAAAATAAGAGTAAATAAATTAAAACATCAAAAAATAATATTAAAAAAATAAAATATCGAAATCTTCCATTCGTGTTCCCTGGAAATGAAAACCGACTGTATTTCAATTACTAACAAAAAACAAAAAGCTATAAGTTATTCGCTAAATTAAAAAAAAGTGCAACGAAGGTAATTTTTTCGCTTAAGTCTCAAATGCCGCAATAAAGAATGCAAAATGAATGTGTCAGGAATTTTTAATGTTGGACGATGAAGAATCGTGAAGCTATTTAAGTGGTAAATGTTCTCGAGAAAGGCTCAACAGATCATAGCGTTGTTTGGTCTTTTTTTAAGGTTTAATACTTCTCGTAATAATTTACTTAATGGAAATAATGTTCATCTATATTTAATTTAAAACACTCCGCATTAAAATTTTGTGGAAATACATTTTCCGTGTTTTGAATTCAATTAAATTGTATTCAATTCCCAATTATCGTAAATACAACTTGAATATTTATGAATTATTATAAAATAGAGACACGTAGGTTTTATTTTATGTTAGGGTCGCATAAACCAATGTTTTTATTTAATGGATTATTAGCTCATGAAGTCGCAATCATAACCATAATAGTACATCTTACCTTCCTTGCGGCAATTCTAATGGTTGTGATTATGCTTGCCATCATGCAAGTTCATAATCGGCCAAAAATGAACGCAAGTAAAGGTATCAACATAAATATATTATTAAATACCAATCTCTCATAACTGGCATGTTAGTAATCACAAAATATAGTACAGAAAGATGATTAAGAAAATGAATAACATGTAATAAAAATTACAATAATACATTTAAAATATAAATGCATATGGAAATATGAAAACTATAAGAGCAAAAAGAGAAATATGAAAACTATAAGAGGAGAAAACTTTTAAGAGATTAGTGTTATTACATATATACAAAACTAAGCATTACACGTTACCATTCACCAAAAATATGTTTGTCAGTGGATAACAGATGCATACAGGAAAAAAACAGGTATTCAGTTTGTAGCAACGTATAATTCATAACTGCCTCGAATTCACGTCATAAGGCAATCTAATATCAATCTAATGGTTTTTTATAAAATAGCTGTAATTTTCAACTATACTTTCGATATTGGGAATTTTCGATATTTTTTCTCGATATAATGTATAAGAGTTACAAGAAAATGAGACTCTGAACTAACTTGGTTTCGCTTGTTTTGTTGCCGCAACAGGTGGTGACGAAGAGCAGCTCCTACGTGACCTCCGGCATGACGCACGCCGACTCCCTGGCGGACGAGGGCTTCCTCACCCTCAAGTCGAAGGAGATCCGCGACTCGGAGTCGCCCACGCGCGACTTCCACACGCTCCAGGCCCGCAACGCCGCGCTCAGCCGCTCGGCGGGCGACGACGGCTCCACGGGCTACTGGCGCGTGGTGCAGGACTCGGCCTGCGAGCAGTACAGCTCCAGCTCGCGCACGGGCCCCGACGGCGACACCGTCGTGCGCTCCTCGGCGCAGAGCGAGCGCCGCAACATGGCGGCCGACTCCGAGTCGGACGGCGTCCAGACCAGCGTGCAGTCCGCCAGCTCAGAGAACACCTCGCACATCCCGAGGGGCGAGGCCATCGCGTGCGACGACGACTTGGGCGGCGGGGTCGTGACGGTTCGGCAGACGGGCGACGGCGGCACCGTCATCCAGACGTCGTCCACCACCGGGGGCTCCCGCTCACAGCGGTGGGTCTCGTCCTCGTCATCCAGTTCACGCATGAGCAGCAGCAGCAGCTCCCGACAGCAGGTTTCGTCCTCGTCCACTAACACGTCTTCGACGGTGCGCGACGGCGAAACAAGGAACATCATTACGTCGTCGCTGGACCAAGATATCCCCTTCGACGGAACCGTGCGAACCTCTGTGATCCGCGACCTTGATACAGGAGATCAGACCCGTGGTTCCACCACCATCGAAATCATCCGAGGAGGCGGAGATTCGCGCAGCAGCTCTGAAGTGGTGCAGTCCTCGTCATCTTCGTCCGTCACTCGAAGCAGCAGCCAGAACGTGCAGCGTTCTCAGACGTCTGAGACGCGCGGAGGAACCGTCACCAGCGAGATCACCATGACCTCGACTCCCGTGCACAAGGTGGAGTACATCACAACCACCACCGGCGGTGACTGCAACAACAGAGAGATCATTCTGGATGTGAATGTGGGTGGGAACACCACTGTGCAACAGCAGACCAATCAGCAACAATCCACGACTTCGAACACTGCCAACACCCGCGTGGTGGAGCAGAAGATCATGAGCGAGCTCCACAAGCTGGATTCATTCCTCTCCCAGCATCCGGGAGGGGATTCCTCACCGGCGACACCAGCCACGCCGGCGACGCCCGCGACCGCCGACACGCGCGACGGCGGCTCGTGGACGATCGTCTCCTCCACGCAGCAGCAAGCCGACACGCGCCGCGTGGACGGCGACACCGTCAGCCGCGAGTTCGTCTTCCGGTCCGGCCGCGACGACCGCGAGTCCGTGTCTCGTCAGAACGACGCGTTCATCCAGCAGGAGCGCGTCACCTCTGTGACGACACGAGAGGAAGACACCACGGACCGCGCGCCCCGCGACGCAGCCACGTTCACCATCACCGTGGTGAAGAAGGAGGTGTCTGAGAAGCCGGAACCGCAGGAGCCGCTGCAACCGCAGCAACCTAGGCAGCCGCAGGAACCCCGACAGCCGCAAGAACCCCGACAGCCGCAAGAACCCCGACAGCCGCAAGAACCCCGACAGCCGCAGGCCCAGCAGCCTCAACCGACTCAACCCGACAGGCGGTCACCAGCTCCGGCACAGGAAGCTCCGCGACCCGCAGCACCCAAGGACAAAGAACCAACCGGCCCCCGTGAAGTGCCGGACGGAGAGTACATCACCACCTATCAAACCCACTACACGCCCAAGCGGATCAGCGTGGACGTGAGCCCCACTCACAACGCGTTCGTCAGCTCTCTGCGCGCGTCTCCGGACAGGTTCACCCCTCCGTCCTCCACGCGCTCGTCGTCCAAGACGTCCCTGGACCGCGCGAGCCCCACTCGGTTCAACAAGCAGTACAGGAATCGCACCAGTCTTGACAACAGCTTGAGCTCCCTGGGCAGGACCAGCCCCGACAAGAGCATTCGCCGAACGTCTCCCGTTGACTCCAGACCGCGCAGCCCCGAGAAAGCGCCAGGGGCTAGATCATCGCCCCGCGCCAGTCCTGACAAGAAGACTCCGGGCGGCAGAACCAGCCCCGAAAAATCGTACCAATCTCCCGGAAGAGTGAGCCCTGACAAGGGTAGAACAAGCCCGGACAAGGCGTACCAATCCCCTGGAAGGAGAAGTCCTGACAAGCCTGTGCAGTCGCCTGGCAGATCAAGCCCTGACAAGCCGTATTCGTCTCCTACGTCCAGCCCTGGCAAGACTCCTCAGTCACCGGGACGTACCAGCCCCACGAAACCGTACCAGTCCCCAGGTCGCACTAGTCCCACCAAGGCGTACCAGTCACCCGGAAGAACAAGTCCGACCAAGCAGTACCAGTCTCCTGGACGTACCAGCCCAACCAAACCTTTCCAGTCGCCTTCCAAGACGAGTCCCAATGGCACTGTACCAGACCGGCGTCGGCCTTCTTCGGACCGGACGACCACAGTTACTACCATCACCAAGACGAGCACTCGACGCGTGAGCTCCGGGGACAAACCGAAAGACAGCGTGCCGGCGTCTCCCGTTCGCAAGACTTCGGAGGCCAGCTCTCCCGCTCGCAAGCCGTCCGACACCTTCTCTCCAGCTCGCCGTCCTTCTGGTGACACCCCCACTCGCAACCACGTGTCGTCCACGGTGGTGACCGTGGGCCGCACCACCGTCACCAAGGACAAGCGCCGCCTGTCGTCGGGCGTCAGCCGCGCCGCCACCAAGAAGCGCTCCTCGACGCCGGGCGCGTCCCCGGGCGACAGCCCGTCCCGCGGCGACGCCCCCGAAGAGGAGCCGCGCGGAGAGAAGCCGCGCGCGGAGCGGCAGAGCCGCCCGCGCTCTCGCGGCAGCTCCCGAGGCTCCTCCACCACCACCTCGGACACCGAGGCCGCCACCGTCACCCTCAACGACACCGACGAAGAGACGCGCGTCACCAGCATCACCGACGTCGTAGATGACTCTGACGTCACCATTGTGACCCGCCGCGATTCCACCAACATCACCCGCACTGAAGAGGATATTCGTAACACTACTCTGCTGTCGCGTACGGATATTACACTCACTGACGAGACCGTTACCGACCAGAAGAAGAGGGTGACACAAAATTTGTTGGAGAGTGAGAGAGGTGAGCCACGGGATACCCAACCCGATGAGAAGGTTCCTTTTGGAAGACGCCCCAGCACCGACAAGCCTACCACAATCACCACGACCAGCAGGAAAGTGAATCAGGACAAGACCACGACCAGAAGCACAACGGTCAAACCAGGCGACGAGCCGACTCCGAAGAGAAAGGACTCGAAGCCCGAGCCGTCCAAGACCGCGCCTGGCGGGCGTACACCGTCCCCCGCCAAGCCCCAACGGGAGTCGCCTCAATCACCGGCCGGCAGCCCGCGGCGCGAAACTCCCCGCTCGCCGTCGGGAAGCCCCGCCCAGCGCGCCCCGCGAGAGCGCTCCCCGGAGTACAGCTCGGAAGGCTCTCTGGCCTGCGAGTTCCCCCGCCGCCCGGCCGCCGACTCCCCCGGCGCGCCCAAGCAGCCCTCCGCGGGCCGCCCGGACTCGCCGGGCTCCAGCCCCGAGCGCGCCCAGTTCTCCCCCATCAAGTGCTTCCGCACCAGCCCGGACGCCCCCGCGCCGCTCCCGCAGCCCCAGAAGCCCGCCCCGACGCAGACCGGGCCCGTCTCCGCGCCCAACGAGCGACGCGAGCCCATCAAGCCCAGCAAGCCCATCTCCACGCGGCCCGCCGACACCGACGACTCGGACGCGCCCGAGGCTCCTGACAAGAAGTCGCCCGCCCCGTCCAGGCTGCCCGTGCAGACCAAGGTCACCCGAACCGACGAGGAGATCCGGAACATGGCGCTGCATCGCTCCGACATCGCCATCACCGATGAGACGGTCACCGTGGATACGGTCACTGACAAGAGGAAGCTCGTGACGCAGGAGTTCTTGGACAGCGAGAGGACGCGACCGGGAGACGAGTCTCCGGAGGATGAGAGCCCTACGCGTAAGCCAAGCACTCCCAAGGACCGACCGCAGACTCTGGCGTTTGGTAAACCACAGGACTCGAAGGACTTCCCGACCTCCCCGACGAAGGACGTGGGCCGACCGCTGCCCACCCAGAAGCGCCCAGGCGACGAGACGAGCGAGGACGAGGACGAGCCCAAGCCCGAGGACAAACCCGAGCCCGGCCAACCCAAGTCTCCCAGCATTTCCCCGTGCTCCAGCCCCGAGCGCCCGAGCGTGGTCAGCACTACGCAAATCACCCTCACCACCCGCAAGCAATCCATACCCGACCAGCCCGGCCAGTCCCGTCAGCCCGGCGACAAGCCCCAAGCGCCTCGTCAATCCCCGACCAGAGGCTCGCCCCAGCGCAGCCCGTCCCCGACTTCACGCCGCCCCGACACCGGCCGTCCGACGGACGGCAGCGAATCCGACACGCCCACGCGCCGCGCGCCCGGCAGCCCGACGAGGGGCTCGCCCCAGCGCAGCCCGTCCCCGAAGAAGCCCGGCCGCGAGACGACGTCGCCTCAACGCTCACCCGCCGACCGCACACCCACGGCCGGCAGCCCCACACGCAGCCCTGAGCGCGCACCCTCCCAGCCCAAAAAGACATCGCCCACCAGTCGCACCTCCAGCATCCCGCGCGCTGGCAAACCCTGCAGTCACGACCAGCCGGAATCGGACGACACCCCGCGCCGACCGGTGTCCAGCATCGTCAAGACGTTCGAGACCAAGAAACGCACGCAGCAGACCACCACCACCACGTCACGCATTCCGCATTCGCCTGGAAGAACGCCCACAAAGACCACGCCGTCTCCGGCACGGAAGCCGGAGTCTAGTCCGGAGAGGCGTCGACCCGGTCAACCGACCGGCGTCCCCCAGAAGCCCAAGCAGCAGACGCAGCGCCGCCCGGACAGCGGTTCCCCGACCAGGCGCGGTCCGCAGAACTCGTCCCCGGAACGCCGGTCGCCGTCTGCCAGCCCCGAGCGTCCTCACGGCGCGGCTCCGTCCTCGCCGACCACCCCCGGCGGCCGGACGCCGGTCCGGCCCACGTCGCGCCTCCCGCAGAAGTCCCCGACCAGCCCCGACCGCCAGCAGCCGCGCAAGCCGGTCGTCAACGGGTACGACCGCCTGGCCAAGAGCCCTGCCGGGCCGCGCTACCCGAGCGAGGAGCCGAAATCCGCCTTCGTGCGCACCGGCCGCCGGCCCGAGGAGAGCCCGGATCGCAAGGCACCGAAACGCGCGCCCGCCGCCGGCAAGCCCACGCAACCGGGCCGCCCCGGTCGCCCGGAGGACGAGGAACCGCTCACCGACCGCTCGTCCACCGTGTCCAGCCCGGAGACGGTCAAAACGGCGGGCGATCTTACCAACTTCGTGGTGGATACCTCGTACGTGGTCAACACGGTCACCGGGGAGGTAGTTGACACTGACACGGTCGCGCGCAAACGCACGGAGGTGTTCGTGCCTCAGCTGTCTGTGGAGCGACCGGACTCCAGCCCATCCGAGGACGAGGACGACGACGCCCCGGAGGACAAACCTCGCAAGGCGCGTCCTACGCAGGTGCCTCCCGTGTCCATCACCATCACCACGGCCAGCACCAAGCGCACCCGCGAGGACGAGGATATTTACAATGAAGATTTCATCGAGTGCATTCAGGACGAGTCCCCTCCCGACACGTTCCTGGTGGAGGACGACGACGACGTGGACGATGACGAGCCACGAGGGCCGAAGAGGGCGCCCAAGACCGCGCCGAAGTCGGCCCCGGCCCCGGCGTCGCAGCGCAAGCCGCAGCCCACACGCGCTCCCGCGTCGAAGCCCACTCGAGGGGCCCCGGCCCGACCCGAGCCCGCGAGGGGGCCGACCCAGCGCAAGCCCGAGCCACGAGCGCCCGCGGACAGGCGCACGCCGACCGGCACCGCCCCGCGCTCCACGCCGCACTACGCGGCCCCGATCCGCCGCGACCCGCGCCCGCCCGGCCAGTCCCCGGCACGCCCCCTGGGCCAGTCCCCGGCCAGGCAGCCCGTCGGCAAGTCGCCCGCCCGGCCCGTGGGGCAGTCCCCGGCACGCACGCCGACCGCCCAGTCGCCCGCGCGCACACCAGTCAGCCAGTCGCCGGCCCGGCGCCCCACCGGCCAGTCCCCGGCTCGCCAGCCCACTCGCCCCGCGACTCACCGCACCGTGGTCGAAACTCGCATCTCGCGCGCCAGCAGCGATAAGAACATCATCCGGCGACAGCCGGCGTCTCCGAGCCCGGCTCAGCCGCGCCGACAGGTGTCCAAGCCCGAAATTTCAGTTACACGCGTCACCGACAGAACCGTTAACACCACCACCGCCAAATCTAGGACGACGTCTGTGCGACAGACGATGGCGTCAAGCACCACCCGCGTGACCGCCACAGCCACCACCAACAGGACGACCAAAGCGATCCAAAACAAAACCCGCCCGCGTGACGAGCCGGAGACGAAGCGCAAACCTCGTCCTGACACTGTCACCAACAGGCGAACGACCACCGTGACGAGCCAGAAGAGAACCGACGTGGTCCGGAAGGGCGTGCCGGCCCAGAAGCGGCCTGAACCGACAGACGACGAGCCGTACACAAGCTCGTCGGAAGACGAACCGGAGGAGGTCCCCGACGCGACCACGGACGACGGACGACCCAGCCCGCTCGTGTACACAGACACCGACGGCAACGAGAGCGAGCTGGACGTGCGCCGCCGCCCCCGCCCGGACGACGACGACGAATACGAGCGGCGCCTCCGAGCCACCACCACCCGCGAGGACCACCTGCTCTCGGCCACCAGCCGCACCTCCCATATGACGGTCACCCTGCAGCAGCAGACCACCAAATCCTCCCGCGAGTCCTCGCCTGACTACCTGCGCCGGCCGCAGCCGGTCACGGACACCAGCGACGACGACTCGTCGCGTCCTCGCTACGCGGACAAGGTGAGCGAGCCCGAGGACGAGGACGACATCACTCGCCGCCGTCCCTCGCCCGCCAGACCCTTCCAGCGGCCCGTGGTGGAGGAGGAGCCGTTCGATGAGGAACAGACGGACGACGAGCCTCTGCAGCCCAAGCCCCAGCAACCTGCCCAACAACCAGTCCAGCACAGACCGCAGCCCACTCAGCCGCCACAAACACGTACGGAAGTTATTCGCCGCACGGAGCTAGTCACAGATCTGGACGAATCCGATACGGAGGAAATCACCCGTAACGTGAGCGTGGCGGATCGTGTCAACCTGTTCCTGGAAGAGAGCCGTCGCGTTAGCGCGCCTTACCAACCCAGCCTGCCGTCCCAGCCCTCCCAGCCCGATGAGCCGTCTCCGAGACCGCTCGACAGCCCGAGTAGCGTGCGCCGGGCGAAGGCCATGTTCGAATCCATCGCAACCTCGCCCAAATCCTCCCCCACGCTGCCCAGGAAGAAGATCGACATTTTCGAGTCCGGCCGGGACGAACCCACGAAGCCCCAGCCGCAGCCGAAGGAGCCCTTCTGTAGGGACTACCCCAGCGAGGACGACGAAGCTCCGCGCCCGGGTCGGGAACCCGACAGCCCAGCGACCCGACCGGCCGACCGGTCCCCGGAGAGGGACGCGCCTTCTTCGCGAGAAGCCTCGCCTTCGCCCGAGAGGCCCGACAAGAAGTACGACACCTTCGTGCGGCCGAAGACGTCTCGCCAGGAGCCCGACGCCCGCCCCGAGGACTCGTCTCCCACGCGAGGTGATGAGTCGCCCAGGCGGGGCTCGCCCACCAGGAAAGAGTCGCTGCCCAGGAAGCCCAGCGAGACCTCACCAGTTCGCAAGGAGTCTCTTCCCAAGAGAGATTACCCCAGCGACACGTTGACCAGGAAGAAGCCGCGAGATAGGTCTCCCGACGACCAGGAGACCTCACCAGTTCGCAAGGAATCTCTTCCTAAGAGAGATTTCCCCAGTGACACGTTCACCAGGAAGAAGCCGCAAGATAGATCTCCGGAAGACCGCGAGACCTCCCCTGTTCGGAAGGAATCTCTTCCCAAGAGAGATTACCCCAGCGACACATTCACCAGGAAGAAGCCGCGAGATAGGTCTCCCGACGACCACGAGACCTCCCCTGTTCGGAAGGAATCTCTTCCCAAGAGAGATTACCCCAGCGAAACAT